CTCTCTCTCTCTCTCTCTCTCTCTCTGTATATATATATAAATGAATGTATATTCACAAATCTGTAGATGAAGTTAAATTCATAAATCTGTAGATGAAGTTATATTGATAAATCTGTAGATGAAGTTAAAATAAATCTGTAGAGATATATATATATATATATCGCAGAGATATATAAACATGTTTAAATCTGCGTATGTTTATATAAACATGTTTATATATTGAAGATCATCTCCTTAAGGTCATCTCTTCTTCTTCTTCTTTTTTTAATTTTCTTTTTAACATCTTCAATATATATATAAAGTAACATATGGTTTTTTTTTTTTCCCATCTTCAATATATAAATCTGTAGAAAAATTGGCTTCACATATACTTGCGGGTTTGATATTCACATTTCTGATTTCAGAACTTTTCTTAAGTTTTTGAGTTACTTTTAAAAACATTTTTCATTTAATGTCAATACCAAACAATGCACTAAGATATTCTTTAGCATTTATGAGAAAACAAATTGATTATAATTAGAATGAACAATGCTATGATATAATTTAACTAATTGGTATATTAATTAATAATGCTAACTAATTGCTAATTGCTATGTTAAAAAAGAACAATGCTATATTAACTAATTGGTATATTTTTGGTGGATTTTAAGTTCCAGTCACCCCTCTATCGACAGGTAATGGTTCTGTGCTTAATTTGGTTATACTGTACATCTATCTAGTTTGTGAACTTCATAACCATAGCTAATGCAGTTCTGCTATCATTTCATTATATGTAGTTTTTGCATTTTCTTTCAAGGAGAGCATATCTTACAATGTTCCCAACATGTAGCGTGCGAGGCATTTAAGTATTTACGTTACCTGGTTGATCTTTGCTGGTGTGTTTGTGGAAGTAATTTGTAGTATGGAAAGTAATTGGGCCTCCATATATATAGATAGAAAAGAAACTTGGACTGGGCTTTCTTATTCTACTTTGTTACATAAGATTATGTATGTGATGTTCAAAATTATAATATACAGAATAATGATCCATCTTTATTAAATAATTTTTGAGACAATATACTTGATTAGTGTGTTTTTGTATAACTCATCTATCAAGTTTATAAATAATGCCGCATAGTATTATGGAATACTAATAATTTGGAGAATTCTACCATACACATCCATTTATCATATGCATCATTAGTTATGTCATTTTTTTTTTCTTTAGTTATGATGAATTATCTTCGTTAATTATGATGTTATTTTAGTTAAGACTTATAAGATCTTTGGTTGTGCCTCATGTGGTGTTTGGTTATGATTTATTTATTTTTTTAGTTATGACTCAGAAAGTATGAAATTATATCATTTTTTTATTCAATTAATTGATCTCACATGTTGTTGTATAAGTATTTCATTTTTTATGTTCTCCAAAATACAAAACGGCATCGGTTTAGCACGAAACTTGGCACGCACGACCCCCTAGGCACGAGAGACTTGTAGGAGAAGACGGGGCTGGAATCGGGTCCCCGGTTTGGGAGTTAGCGTCGGATTTCGGTTTAGGAAAACTAGTTCCTTAAGAAACTTGAATTTGAGGTATTAACGTCCCAAAATCACCAAACGGCGTTGGTTTAGCACGAAACTTGGCACGCACGACCGCCTAGGCACGAGAGGCTTGTAGGAGAAGACGGGGCCCGAATCGGGTTCCCAGTTTGGGAGTTAGCGTCAGATTTCGGTCTAGGCAAACTAATTCCTTAAGAAACTTGAATTCGAGGTGTTAACGCCCCAAAATCACCAAACAGCGTCGGTTTAGCACGAAACTTGGCACACACGACCGCGTAGGCACGAGAGACTTGTGGAAGAAGACGAGGCTCGAATCGGGTTCCCGATTTGGGAGTTAGAGCCGAATTTCAGTCTAGGCAAACTAGTTCCTTAAGAAACTTGAATTCGAGGTGTTAACGCCCCAAAATCACCAAACGGCGTCGGTTTAGCATGAAACTTGGAACGCACAACCACCTAGGCACGAGAGACTTGTAGGAGAAGACGGGGCTCGAATCAGGTTCCCGGTTTGGGAGTTAGAGCCGAATTTCAGTCTAGACAAACTAGTTCCTTAAGAAACTTGAATTCGAGGTGTTAACGCTCCAAAATCATCAAATGGCATCGATTTAGCACGAAACTTGGCACGCACGACTGCCTAGGCACGAGAGACTTGTAGGAGAAGACGGGGCTCGAATCGGGTTCCCGGTTTGGAAGTTAGAGCTAGATTTCGGTTTAGGCAAACTAGTTTCTTAAGAAACTTGAATTCGAGGTTTTAACGTCCCAAAATCACCAAACGGCATCGGTTTAGCACGAAACTTGGCACGCATGACCGCCTAGGAACGAGAGACTTGTGAGAGAAAACAGGACTCGAATCGGGTTCCCGGTTTGGGAGTTAGCGTCAGATTTTTATTTTGTCATTAATTTTTAATGTTTTTCTGTAATTAAAATATTAACACCATTATATTGTCATTAATTTTTTTTATTTTTTTATTTTCAGATATTTCTTGAGTAGCAATTTGCTTCTTGTGGAGTGCGGGCATGTAAAGATTTGGACCAACTTTTGTTTTTGTAACCCACGGAAGAAGCAAGACGAAAACTTTTGGTTTTGATATACGTTATTTAGATTTGTGAATAACATTATGTATACATTATGCGATATTATGTAGTGGGATAATTTTTATTGTTTTGAATTTTTATTATGTACCAACTTTTGTTTATGTATGTATTTATATTATTCTGTAATTATCGGGTTTTTTTTTGGTTATTTTTCATTTAATACAGGTTATTTTCATATTTTTAATAATTTTAATACATCTTTTTTTTTTTGAGACGGCAGAACACACCGTCTCAAAAAAAAAGGAACCAGGGCTTTTGCGGCGGCCCTTTACTGTCACAAAAGATGGCGATTTGGCTGAAAGATAATGCATTAGCGACGGCTTTGTTCCTATCGCAAATAGTATTTTTAGCGACGGCTAAGGTGCTGTCTCAAAAAAACCTTTAGCGACGGTGTCTTTTGTCATCGCAAAAGACCTTTTTCGCGACGGCAACACAGTGCCGTCTCAAAAAATTCAATTTTTTGTCCGTTATTTGCGACATATTATTCCTGTCGCAAAAAAAGCATTTTGCTGTTGCAAAGTAAAGGCGACGGCGTTATGCCGTCGCTAAAGCCCTTTTGCAACCCCCTTTGTTGCGACCCCCCCTTTGTCGTCGCAAAAAGCCTCTTACCGTCACAAAAACACTTTTGAGACGGCGTTTGGGGTATTTGCAACAGCGTTTTGCCGTCGCAAAAAATCAATTTTTTTGTAGTGCTATTTACTCATTTTAGGGTGGAACCCGTCTAGATTCTTAGAGAGGAGAAAAATACAAAGTGCTCTACATTGGAGAGTGTTTTTGTATGAGTTTCCTTGATGTATAGAAGGTGACGATTGATCAACGAGTTACATATTATTTATCATCAAAGGTTGTTTTTGTTCATTTGCTCATTAAAATAGAGAGATGTTCATCGGTAGATTCTGAGAACTTAGGCCTGGAAGTTTGATAGATTCTGAAGTAGCTCATCATCGTGGATTCGATATCGGCATTGTAGATTCAACGTTGGGCAAAACAATTCTAAGGTAAAATGGTGGTGGAAGAGGCACATCGAGTTTGGTTCAATTTAGACATAGATTAGCTAGGTAGTTGAGAGTTCTCATTTGCTTTTTTGTCCTCTTAGTGGATTGTTTTGTGGTTTGACGCATGATTTTTTTTTTATCACAATTGGAGGAGTCCAATTGTGATTTTTTTCACATTATATCGTTGCGTTGATTTGTTATTGATTGTTTAATTGGGATTGTTATTCATTATTTAAAATTGAATTATAATCACAAATCAAAATCTCGTGATTTTTTTTTAATTTTCACTCCTTAAAATATTTTAATGTGAAGAGTTTTAGCCTATTATTAGCTTTGTAAATGGGACTATAAAATGTGGAAATTAAAATAAATAAATAAAAAGAATATGAACTAACGCTCCGTTTATTTGGGTGCAAAACATTTTTGAAAAAGATTTTCCATACTTTTTGGTGTCTGGTGCAATGAAAAATGAAACTTAACATAAAATATTTTCCATGATGAATAGAAAACAAACCTATACAGGTAGAAAATATTTTGGATAAACTACCAATAGGTCCTAATAGTTGAACTTAATTACCATTAATTCCTATTGAAAATAAGTCTAGTAAAATCGTTGCTAAAAATATTTGTTGTATATGTTGCTAAAAATTGATAATTAGTGACTTTTTTTGTCATGATTTTTATAAGTTGTTACTAAAAATTACAATTAGTGACCTTTTTTGTGACGAATTTTTCAAATTATCGCTGAAAGTTAAAAATTAGTAACCTTTTTTTTCATGATTTTATAAATTGTCGCTAAAACTTATAATTAATGACATTTTTTGTAACAAAATTTTTAAACTATCAGTGAAAATTAATAACTAGTGACGTTTTTTAATAGTGTTTGATAAAAAAACGTCATTAATTATCATAGGAACTATCGAACAATAAATCTACCTATTGAGGTCAACACGTAAGTCCCCCGAATATTTTCCACTTTTAAAAGATGAAAAATATTTTTTGACTTAAAGTTTTACTAATATCACCACACTACCACCACAACTCCCACCTTCATCACCACATCACCATTACCTTCGCTATCACCGCCGCCACTACCCCACCACCACCATGCCACCACCTTCACCTCTATCTCTACTTTTGTTCCACCACCACCAAATATAGAAAAATATTTTCTACCCAAACAAACGAAGCATAAATGAAAGTGACATAATGTGCATTCAACAACTATTTACATGAAACATGTTGGAATGATCAAACCTAAAAATTTGAAACTAGATTCAAGAAGAATTAGTTTTGTTGTAAATAAATAAAGCACCACTGACAATCAAAAGAACAATAATGATCATTAAAAAGTTCAGAAGGTTGGGAACATATATGGATCATTTTGATTTCTCTTCAACATCAAATACCTTAGTGGCCAGTTTGGTTAAAGGGATAACCATTGGGTTCAATGGCATTAACATTTCCCATCTCCAGTTTGCAGATGACACAATTATTTTCTGTGAAGCCGAGTGATTTGAAGTGTTAAATGTGAAGAGAGTACTCAGATGCTTTGAGATTATTTTTGGGTTGAGGATCAACTTTCACAAGACTGTTGTATGTGGCGTAGGAACTTTTGATGATATTATGGAAACTTTTGCTTCAAGATTGAATTGTACCTGCCAGAAGCTCCCTCTAAAGTATCTTGGAATGCTATTAGGGGCCAACCCATCAAGAAGAGGAACATGGAAACCTGTGGTGGAGAAATTTAAGAAAAAACTAATAGGTTGGAAAAGGAGGTTGTTGTCCTTTGCAAGTAGAGTAACACTAATCAAATCTGTACTATCCTCATTACCTGTTTATTATATGTCTCTATTTAGATTGCCTGGATGTGTGGGAAAAGAGATTGATAAGATTCAACAAGCTCTCTTGTGTGGAGACTTTGATGTGAAAAAGAAAGTCCACTTGGTGAAATGGAAGGATTTAACCAAGGATAAAAGGCAAGGAGGGTTGGGGATTAGAAACTTAAGAGTTGTGAACAATAGCTTGCTTGCTAAGTGGTGGTGGAGATTTGGGATGGAAGACAACTCATTATGGAAACAATTCATCTACAGTAAGTACAAGTCAGAGAACGGTAGATGGTTTCTTTTTCATGTGGAGGTAAACAATATTTCAAGATTGTGGAGTGACATTCTACTTGTTAATGAATCTAACTACAGCCTTTTCAACCATTATTTGCACAATGCTAAAATCAAGATTGGAAATGGTGAAAGAATAGTTTCTGAGTTGATAATTGGTTGGGAACCATTTGTTTGAAGTCCTAATTTCCTAGATTATACTACTTATCAACGGAAATAGACATATCCTTGTATATCCAGTGGTCTAGGGCTAGAAATCAGAACAACTGGGCATTCAACTTCAAAAGACCCTTATTGGCATGGAAGGAAAATGAACTACAGAGACTTCATGATGTTCTAGGAAAGGGTTCTGAATTGAGATTGGAATCTAATGATAGTGTTTTGTGGAAAGCTAATCTTACAGGTATTTTCAGTGTTAAATGCGCTGTTAACTGGAGTGAATCATCAAATGGACCTGCTCTAAAACTTTCTGACTTGATTTGGCACAATCCTCTCCACCTAAAGCCCAATTTTTCTCTTGGTTGGTCTGGAAAGAGAGGTTAAAGACTTTAGATTATTTACATAGAATTGGTATCCTAAGTGATGAAGTTAGTAATGAGTGTGTGTTTTGTCATGCGGAGATTGAATCACTTAATCATGTTTTTTTTATTTGTCCCCTTGCTTGGAAAGTATGGTCCACGACAATCAAGTGGTAGGGTTTGTAATGGGCCTCCTCTAGCTCAGTGCACATGCTAATGCACTGGTGGATATGTTGGACTTTTAGAAAAATGGAGAAGCAACTGTGGAGATCAATTTTTCTTGTCGGTTTGTGGTCCCTTTGGAAATGCAGGAATAACTGTTTGTTTAATGAGTTGCATCCCATTTGTGAAGATTTCTATCAGTTAATTAAAATAAGAGTGGCCCTTTGGATGAAAACACACTTATTTGGGCAAGGGTATGCGGTGAACGAGTTTGTCTTCAACATTCAACAAGTTAGGAGTTGCTTATAGTACCTCTGCTGGGTCTGTGTGCACTACTTGTAGTGCTCTGTCAGGACTGTGTAAATGAAGCAGAAGATGTGTCATGGTCTGAGATGGAGTTGTGAGCAGAGGAGATCGATTTTGCTGCTATTTTGTTCACCTTTTTTGCTCCTGTGAACTGTTTTGCTCTTTTGCTCTTTTGCTACTGTGATGATTTGCTGCTAGCATGGTTTTGTTGTTTTGTTGCTGTGTTGATTTGCTGCTGTGATGATTTAGCTTATTTGTTGCTGTGAAACAAAGGAGGGGTCATGCTCAAGGTTAATTGTACTGTATCATTAAAATCTATTGCCCATATTAAATAGCATATCAAATTCAAACCTAATGAACAAGACTAAGGATCAAGAATCCAACAAACAAGAATAATAATTAACATTGAGGTGGTCAGAAGTTGAATTCAAACCTTTTGTTTCATGGTTAAAGAAATTATGATTTATTTTATTCAACAACAATTACAGAGAGATCTAGAACATTGTATACATGTGATGCAATCGCTTAACCATAACTACTAACTACTAAACTTAACCATAATTATGTTGGAGATAATTTTGACAAATAATTAATTTAAGGAAATAATTAATAACATAAAATAAACAACAAAATTAAATCTTACAGTACTTCTGTAAATGTTTTATGAACAAGTTTGTAATTGAGACCAGTGTTTGAACACTGTAATAACTCGAATTCTAATACGTATCGGATTGGTGTAAATTGGTGCCCATCACCTTAAAACTTGTGTGGTTGTCGGACTCTTGGTATTGATAGGGTGGCAAAGTGAACCTTAAATATTATAATTGAGGACCCTTGGGTGATGTTTGGAACCTTGATTGAAGCCTTAACAAGGTATTTAGGCAAGATTAGATCAAAAGCCCCAAATTTGAGTTTTTGTTTTTGACCAACCTTCACTCGTTTGCCCTTTTCTCCTTCCATACTTTGAATTTGAATTTGAGGATGGAGCCATTGGAAAGCTTGTTTTCGAGGCTTCGATTTGGACACAAGAACGACCTAAAATGGAATCCAAACGAGAGAGTTATACCTGTTTGAATTTTGAGTTTCAATGTTGGAAGCATGCTCGCTCAAGCGAGATTTTCCTTGCTCGAGCGAACTATGCGATTTTCAAAAATTCTGGGAGCTTTTTTTCTACGCTCGATCCAAGCTTCCTTCGCTTAAGCGACCAGGTCACGAATAGACATTATCAAGTGACTTTTTGAGCTAAAAACTTTATTTTTCTCCCTCTCTTCTCCTCTCATCCTCCAAACCCGAAACCCTAACTTTCCAAACTCTTGATTTCTCTTCTTTTTACCCAAGATTCACCCCACATCTTTCAAGAAGGTTGAAGAGCAAGCATAGATCAAGAGTTCTACCGATTGTTTTACGATTTCATTGGAGTTTCAAGTTGGGTCTTCATCTTTGGCTTCCAATCTTGATGTAGGGAGTTCTCTTAGCCTTAAATACTTATGATTCAAAGTGATTTTGGTGACATTTTGGGATTTTGAGTTGATTATGGGTTAGAAAACATTAATGGCTAGTTGTTTAAGTACAAATTGAGTTTTCACTCAAATTTTCAAAGGGTGTTGAATGTTTTAGCATATTGATAAATAATAATTGATGATTTGAGGATTTAACTAAGAAAAGAGGAAAACCCCATACGTTCTTTAAAACCCTAAGTTTGAAATTTTGAGTAAAAAAAAAAGGGATTTTGAAACTATTTGATAGTTTTATGTTAAAATTGACATTAATATGGTATTGGAATACATGAAAATTATGAAATGGGCAAATCCTAATAATTTGATGAAACTAGTGTGGGGATAGAAGTTCTGGATTAAATCATTTTGGAAACTTAGCTTGGGAGTTTAATGGAAATGAGATAACTTACCTAAGTAATGTTTAAAAGTGGAATTTGAGTCATTTTGAGTTGATATTTACATGATGTTGGAACGATAGAGAATTTGGGATTAATGTTGCTATATTAGATGATTATGAAAATTGTTGAGATTGCCTTGCTTATGTTTCGTGTTAATTATTCTTGTAGTAATGATTTGAACCTTTGATAAACTATGATATTGGCAAACCAATTGCATTGCATTGCATTGTATCTTTATGACTTTGGGATCAAGTGGGCAGAGTTAATTAAAAATGGGTTAATTTGAAATGTGTTGTGTATTGAGGTGCCCAATTGCTCTTCTGTGCTTGTAGGTTGGAAAATGTGGGGATGTTATTGGTATGTTGGTAAAGATGCCCAATTGCCCTTCCGTGCTTGTAGGCCGGTAAATATGGGGGCAAAGTTACAATGATTGATGGGTGTCCAATTGCCCTCCATGCTTGGTGGCCGAAAAATGTGGAGATGTTTTAAGAATGAAATGGGTGTCCAATTGCCCCTCTGTGCTTGGTGGCCGGTAAATGTGGAGGTTTTCTAAAAGTAAGAGGTGCCCGCTTGTCTTACTGTGCATGGTGACCAGTAAATGTGGGGAGTGTTTGTGACATGCAACATGGAATTTGTTATAAAATGAAGGTTCATTGTTAAATCAATGGTTAACAAATTGGGTCAAACTTGGAATACGAATTTAGCACTTCACAAATTGGTTTTCTAATAAAGTTAAGTTGTATGCATGGCATGACATTGCATGAACATAATCACTTTGAGCATATTTATTTGTTGTTAAATTTATTTCCTACTAAGCGTCAAAGCTCACTCCCTTTTTATCGGCTAGATATCCTAAAAATGCAGGTGTTGAAGGTGTACCATGTTAGTGTCGAAAAGCGCATGGAATTCAATGTGGAGCACCAAAGCTTCTTTGATGTTGTTCGCCTATAGCCATTGAGCTTGTTTGTCGAGTTAGGAATTTTATTTGTTGAATCATGACTCTTAGTCTTGAAAGGTGTAAGCCCTTGTGGCAATTTAGATGGATATTTTTATATTACCGTGTATTGTAATTTTATTACTTTGAGCTTGACAAGAAATTTATGAGAATGTGATAGATTTCAGTTATTAAACTGTATAATTTTGCTTATTGTTCATATGTTGGGTTGGTAGCATATCATGGTGTGGATATCGAGGCATTACAAACAATGTGTCTTTAAGACAAAATTTCATCTTCTCCAATGGTGCTTGAGAACAATGGACGTCTTGTTTCCACGATACAATAATCACCATAAACGAAGAAAGCACACTCATTGATTGTACAACGAACCAAAATTATGTTTTGCACTCACAAAATTCAGACTCGCATAGATGAAGAATACAAGAAGAATGCTTGAACTTGAGGAATTTTGAATGAAGAAAATTGGAATGGGGGCTGCCTTTATATAGGCTTTGTTGACACATATTCAGTTTGAATAGAAAATGCATGAAGAAAAAGATGACCCTTAGGTCACACCCTTTTAAGATAAAGAAACACCATGAAGGGTTGCATCCTTTCATTCAAATGAAGTGTATTTTAATTCACCGCTTCTAAATTTTCCAACAAATTACTATCTAACTCTAGTTCTAACAGACTAACAAACTTCAAGCTTTGGCTAACTGGCCTTCAGTAGACTGCAACTGGGGCAACAGCTCATATTGCTAGGACTGCGACTCATTCGAAACCGGACTCCGAAATGGGCAAAATGGCCTGCGGCCACAAAATGTAGCCCACGGCCACTGAGAGATGGTCTACGGGACCTCTCCTTCCCCTCGGGAAAAGAAACAGAGAAAACCGAGCCTGGTTCGCAAACCGAGGCAAAGCACAAAAGAGGGTTCGGAAGTCCGGAGGCAGGGCTCACGGCCGCGACTCTGAAACTTCTGAACGAGCACATTATGCAACATCACCAAGCGCTCAATCGGTGACGTCTGAGTCTTAAGGTCGGTCAAAAATGGGGTGTCTACACACTCACAAAATTCAGACTCACATAGATGAAGAATACAAGAAGAATGCTTGAACTTGAGGAATTTGGAATGAAGAAAATTAGAATGGGGGCTGCCTTTATATAAGCTTTGTTGACATATATTCAATTTGAATAGAAAAGGCATAAAGAAAAAGATGACCCTTAGGTCATGTTTGATTTACAAGATTAAAAGTGAAGTATTAATAATCCTATTAAATTAGTGTGGTATTCACTATCCAATTAGATTAATATCCATTGAATTAATAATCCCACTCTTACCCCATTACTAATAATCCTACAAATTTGTTGGATCAATTATCTATTGGATTAATAATCCTAAACCAAAATGTTAAAACAAACGTAGGATAATTGGGTCCGCGGATTAATAATTTCAATCTCATGCTCTAATCCACCCAATCAAACATGCCCTTAGGTCACACCCTTTTAAGGTAAAGAAACACCATGAAGGGTTGCACCCTTTCATTCAAATGAAGTGTATTTTAATTCACCACTTCTAAGTTTTCCAACAAATTACTATCTAACTCTAGTTCTAATAGACTAACAAACTTCAAGCTTTGGCTAACTGGCCTTCAGTAGACTGCAACTGGGGCAACAGCTCATATTGCTAGGACTGCGACTCATTCTGCAGCTTTGGCATATGTC